TGAGATGACAAGGGCTTGGTGCGGGGAGCTGTAACTTCCCCAGCTCTGTGTTCCCCTGGCAGGTGTGTCTGTCAGGGCCCTCACAGCACTGTGTCATGCCAGGACTGTGGAAGAGCACCAGGAGCAGCACGGGATTGACGTGATGTTGGGAGGAGGGTGCAGTTTTCACCCTGGCTCTTGCAGTTGCTGTTCTGCGTGGGGCTGGCAGGTGTTTAAAGCTGGGTGGGCTGTGCAGAAGCCTTTGGGGGTTCTTGGAGGAAGCACACCCTCTCCTGAAGTAAGTGTGTCCAATCTTCCCAGGAATATGCCTCCACTGTGCGGCGAGCGGTCCAGTCTGGGAACGTCAACCTGAAGGACAGGCTCACCATTGAGCTGCACGGTGAGTGAGCAGCACCGGGGCATCTTAATCCTCTCCTGGCTGTCTGCAGGTGAAGCTGTGCCACTTGCATGTGTTGTCCTGTGGAGTTGTTGCTGCCCAGGGAAGTCTTGCCCAGTGTGGCTGTTTAGCCACAGCACTGACCTGTTCCCATGGCTCTCCACAGCGGATGGGCGCCATGGGATTGTCCGTGTGGACCGGGTGCCACTGGCAGCCAAGCTGGTGGATCTGCCCTGCATCATCGAGAGCTTAAAAACCATCGACAAGAAAACCTTCTACAAGACAGCAGATATTTGCCAGGTAAGGGCTACCCTTCTCACCTGCCCCAACAGCTTAATTCCTTGCTCCCCCTCCCTTGCACCCTCTGGCAGCTGGACATCCAGTATAACATGGCCAATTCCTGTATTCTCACAGTATCAGCAGTTTAAAATTCCCCATTCTGCTTGGTGTTTAGAAACCTCATTTCTGTAGCATGAAATAGGATTGTCCTTGTGACAGCTTAACTGCTGCTGTGTCCAGCTGAGCTGGGTGTGAAACTGTGGTTTCCCACACCCTGTGCCCCTGAATCCCTTTGGCTCACAGCATTCAGTGGGCAGACACTGTTCCTTCACGTCCTCTTGCCTTTACAATAAACCTTTGCGTTTCTGGGGGGATTCCAGATGCTTGTGTGCACCGTGGATGGGGATCTCTACCCCCCTTTGGAAGAGCAGACTGTGAGCACTGACCCCAAGGCAAACAAGAAGAAGGACAAGGACAGAGAGAAGAAATTCATATGGAACCATGGCAGTGAGTAGAGACTGTGCCAAGCCCCTCCAAACTCCTCCACCTCAACACCCCACAGCTGTGCAGGCTACTCACAGCTGCCAAGTACTGGCTGCACTGCTGCTCCATTTCCAGGGCTCTCTCTGCTGCTGAAGGGTCTTCTCCCTTCAGAAGACATGCACTTCTCTCACTGGGCCATCTGCCTGACACGTGCAATCTGTTTCCTCTGTCGCAGTCACTCTCCCCCTGAAGAACGTGCGGAAGAGGCGATTCCGGAAGACAGCTAAGAAGAAGGTGAGTTGCTTCTCACACAGATGCAGATGCAATACCCAAGGGATAGGAAGGCAGAGACATGAGAGCTGTAACTGTCTATTGGTCCAGAAAACAAGGGATTTCTTAATGTTCCTGCACATGTTTTCTTGCCTGAGATGAGGGTGAAGGGAGGGGAGTAAATTTAAACACTTCTTTGGGTGCTTCCTCCATGTTTTCCAAGATGCTCCTGAGGGCAAAATCCTCTATGCAGAGTACTGCTGAACTTCATTCCTGTGGCTGCCCTGCCATAGCACATCTCCTCCTGCTCTTAGAGAGGAAAGGAAAGGAGACTTACATGGAAATGAGGCTTCACTCATTCCTGCTTTCCCAGTCTTCTCTCCCTGCATGGCCCTTTCCCTTCCCCAACAGGCAGTGCTACAAATAGTACAACTGTCACTTCAGCCGGGGGAGTGACAACAGATGGAGCTCAGGGACTGTCTCTGCATATGCACAAGCCAGGCAAGGTGTTGGGGAGATGCAGCACCCTGAGGCTGGGAAGACTTGTTCTTCTCTCCTTTGCAGTTTCTGAGAACAGGATGGAGTGTGATTTTGCATGACATTTGGGAAACAAATTACTTGACATGTTCTTATAGCCCACAGGAGAGATATCACAGCAGTAAGATTCCTGATTAATTTAAAAGTGAAAAAGCAAACCATCTTTTAAGTGAGATCAGAAGGAGTTGAGCTGACCATCAACACCTCAAGGCCTTTCTGCATACACATGGAAAGTCTTGTTTCATGAGTAGTATGAGCAGAAAAGCGAGAGCACACAACCAACCAAGGAGCTCTGTACAAAAAAAAAGAGGGATTGTTTTAGGGGGGTGCACAAATTATTACATCTTGGTTGAGCACAAACAAATGCTGAGCAGAAAGCTCTAAGAGAAGAGAGCCTTGAAACGGGGCTCTGTCCAGAGGTGGAGGGTTGGGGTTGACCAGCAACATGCACGAGGCATTTAACAGTGTCTCTGTTCTCTTTGCCCTCTCTGGCCCAGTATATTGAGTCTCCTGATGTGGAAAAGGAGGTGAAGCGTCTCCTGAGCACCGATGCCGAAGCTGTCAGTGTCCGTATCCTTTCAGTGGGGAGAAAGCTCAGGGGTGGGACAGGACTCTGTGTGACCTGGGGATTCTGGGAGGGACAGACAGGTTGAGCTTTGTGTGGGTGGGGGAGGCTGGTAGGTAAGCACACAAGAGATGCTGAAGTTTTGGAGCCTCATCTTTGCCATGTTCAAAACTTACTGTTTCCTCATGGTGATCATTGTTGTGCTGAGCAGGAACTGAAATAATAGTAGAGGAGAACTCATCAAAAAAGGAGTCTGGGGTGTTTCATCCTAGGTATCCTTAGCTACAAGGCCAGACTTGTTGAAGGGGCAGTGATCTCCTGCAGTTTTCAGCATTCTTCCACTTTCCTCTTTTTCCCTTGACTCCCCTGTTCCTGCTGTCAGGCTGGGAGGTCATTGCTGAAGATGAAACAAAAGAAGTGGACAACCATGGTTCACTCACCAGCCTGGACATCTCTTCCCCAGGGATGTCAGGACACAAGCAAGGCCACGGCTCCTCAGGTGCAGTGGGGAAGGTTCTTGTTTTCTTCCCACTTCCTAAGTGGTCCCTGACAGGCAGAGGGTGCTGGGAGGTCATCAGCTGTGTGTTAACTCTTTTGTCCCCACCTAGAACACGATGAACTGCGGGAGATATTTAATGACATCAGCAGCAGCAGCGAGGACGAAGATGAGAGGGACCATCATGACGACGAAGACCTGAACATCATGGACACTGAGGAAGACTTGGAGAGACAGCTGCAGGACAAGCTGAATGAGTCTGATGGGCAGCAGCAGGAGAATGAGGGGTCCAACCAGATCGGTGAGTGGGTGGCAGAGCACAGCAGAACTGTTGGGATGCCAGGCAGGCTGCACTGCCCAGCTCTGCTGCTGCTCTGGCTGTGAGCTCACTCTCCCTTCCAGCCATGGGGATCCAGAAACAGATTGACAACCTGAAAAGTAAACTCCAGGAGACTCAAGACAGGAGGAAGCGCCAGGAGGATCTCATCATGAAAGTGGAGAACCTGGCCCTCAAGGTGAGAGCTCTCTTGGAGTCTCTTCCAGTCCTCTATTTAGCACTGGCTTGCCATTAGATCCAGCAGACTGATTTAGCTGCTGCCCTGGAGAAGCCAGGGGCCTTTGCATGCTGGATTAAAAACAGTTGTGGTGTGGTCATACACACTCCAGCATTTCCCTGTGGAAGCAAAGCAGTCTGTGGAACTGGAGGAGATAAGGGGGTGTCAGTGCATCTGGAGGCTTGCTGCGCTATTTGTCATGTTGTGCCAGCACCCATTCAGTTGAGAACACATTGGTAACTGTGGTCTGGCATGTTTGTCTCTACAGACCCGTCTCCAGGCTGTCCTGGATGAGTTCAAGCAGCAGGAAGAGCGAGAGAAGCAGCAGGTGAGGAAGCTCCCACAGTGGAGCGGGAAGTACTGGGGCACAACAAGATTCTAGGCTTGGCCTCTGATGAAGTGTCCCCAGTCCTGTACCACTCCAGCTGCTGAGAACTCCAGTATTCCAGGTCAGGTGGGGTTGTACCTCACCTGTAGTTGCATGGAGCTTCCTGAGGCACAAGGGGATGCAGGGAGTGGGTTGATTGCAGCCTTCCTGCTGAAGGAGCAGTGAGCCAAAACATGTCCAGTCAGCAGTCCAAAGCTGCCAGGATTGCTGACACACAAACCCACTGGCATCCATGCACCAGAAAGGCAGTGGCTGTAGACTCTTGGCAGATTTCCTGCCTGGGCAGCTCTGTTCCAGCCAGGTACCAAGGCAGGAGGTTCTTTCTCTCACGTTCCTGTGGGCAGTGCCAGTTCTGTTCCAGAGGTGCCCAGGCACAGCTCTGGGCAACACACAGGCACGGGTAAAAGATCTGCAGGAACACAGAAATGTTGAGGCTGGGGCTGCCCAGAGTCCCAGCCACGCCTGACTGTAATCCTCTCTCCCTCTTCCCAGATGGCATCCCTGCAGGAGCAGCTGGAGTCCCTCATGGAGAAATGAGGAGTGGGCTTGGGTCTTTGTGAGCAGAGCTGAAAGTGGTGGTCACCTGCCATGCTGAAGTCTTTGCTTTACTCACCCACTTCTGCTGCCAGAAGTGCTGCTGGGCAGCGCTAGAGGTTCCATGTCCAGAGCTGCTTTCACATCCATTGTTCTGGGTTTGGCTGGTGGAGCTGAAAGGTTGGACTGTGCCTGTGAGAGCAGCCAAAACACCGGATTTACTGTAAATACTCAGCACTGATCTCCCTGGGACAGCACAGTGTTGGTTTGTGCATCGTATTGAATCTTGGGCGTGCTGGGCTGTGGCCTGGTAGGAACTTGTTCTTGTGTTTGAGGAGTGCTTGTGTCTGCAAACCAAACTCTAATATTAAAGTACCCTTTCCAACCCTGGTCTGTTCCTGGGTGGTCTCTCGAGGGTCTGGCTGCACAGCCCCTGGCAGGGAGCAGTTCCTGGGCACCTCTGGGACACTGCTGGGCCCCTTCCTCAAAATGCTCCGTGTGGGGCTGGGTCAAAAGTGACTGTGTGCCATCACTCTGGGGGAGGAACGAGGGCCTCCTGATCAAGGAGTTTCTGTAATTCCTCACAGACTAGGCAGGCAAATCCCAGATTAACCTGACAGGGTGGGAAGAGGATTAGAAGGGTGGTTACAGGAGGCAACGGAGGACACCAGGGGCTTCAGCAAGTGTGTGCTACGGCGGGACACCCCTCTCAAAACCCAAAGGGCAAGGGAGAAGGCTTCCAAGCTCTACCCCCTGCACAGAAAGGAAAAGATCAGCAGCAGCCCTGGGAGATGACAGCTGTGTCCAGATAGTCAAGAAAGAGAGATAAGCCTGAGGAAGACGTGGAGCTCAAGAAGGGCGAGAGCGTGCCCGCGTGCACGTGCCCTTGAGCTGCTCCTGGGGGCTGGCAGGAGCAGCCATGGAGGAAACCTACCTGCTGAACGTGGAGGGGGTCAAAAAGAAGATCCTGCATGGAGGCCAAGGGGAGCTGCCAAAGTTGCAGGATGGGAGCAAGGTAAATTGTCTTTGTTTGTTGTTTCCCCCAAGGCCCTGGGAGAGGGAGTGGGTTTGACACCACCAGTCCTGCCCATTGCAGCTCACAAGCTGAGCTCCAGGTCTGGGGTAGAGCGAGATCCCTCACAAGAGAGGTGTAGGAAGGGCTGGTTTGGGCACAGGCTGCCACGTTGCCCATGGCCTCACCTTGCACTGGGCCTGTGACACCTCCTCTCTCTGTCCTGGTGCCATGAGAGCTGAGCAGCCCCCATGGGTTGCTGAAATCTGCCTTTCCTGCCTTTCCTCCTCAAGCAGGAGTGAGGTGAGGCAATGGATTGTTCTTGGGAGATTCCTCAGACCCTGGGTATGGGCAGATCAGTGTGGGTTCCACCAGGTCCTGATGCATGCGGTGAGAGCACCCTCTGTCCTGGGCTCTCCATGGGGGGATCCATAGGGAGCAGCATAGATGGGTGTTGGGCCACTCCACCATCTGCCTGTTGTCCTGAGACAAGTGGGCAGCAGTCACCACCTCCTGCTGCAGGGGGAGAGCTGCCAGTCCAACCAGCACGTTGCTGGGAGCAGGCCTGACCCCACAGCTCAGCTCACTGGGACTGCCACGGGGACTGAACGCTGGGCTCTCTCCGGGGCAGTTCACCTTCCACTTCCAGACGCTGAAGGACAACTTTGAGCGCACGGTGATCGACGACAGCCGGGAAGCTGGAACGCCCATGGAGATCATCGTGGGCAAGATGTTCAAGCTGGAGATATGGGAGACGCTGCTCAGCTCCATGAGAATCGGGGAGGTGGCAGAGTTCTGGTGCGACATCATTGTGAGTGAGGGGCCCACAGACGCGTATTTCCCTCCTTCCTGCAGAGCCGGGGCACAGGACCGTGCATCCCACAGGTGTTCCAGCTTTACCTAGTGCAAGCACAGGGGGCACGGGTGTCACTCTGCCACAGGTCACCAGGGGGGCAGCCCCAGGTGAAGGGGTGCACTGAGTGGGGTTCCCCCCTCCTTGCAGCACACAGGCATGTATGCCCTGGTCTCCAGGGGCATGAGGAGGATCGCAGAGGGACGGGACCCCCTGGAAGGGCAGAAGCACCGCTGTGGCATGGGCAACATGTTTGACTACCACAGCACAGGCTACGCCGACCTGGACGAGCTGCAGCGGACGCCACAGCCCCTCATCTTCGTCATGGAGCTGTTCCGGGTAAGGGGGACGGAGGGACGGCCGCCAGAGCGGGAACGGCTCCCACAGGCGGCTCAACTCCTGCTGCCCGTGCAGGTGGAGGAGCCCTCAGCGTACAAGCGTGACACGTGGGCCATGAATAGTGAGGAGAAGCTGGCAGCAGTGCCAGTGCTGCACAGCGAGGGCAACCGCCTCGTCCTCCGCAGGGAGTTCGCGCAGGCGGCCGCCAAGTACCAGGAGGCCGTGATCTGCCTGAGGAACCTCCAGGCCAAGGTGAGCGGGGCCAGGCAGCTCCCGACAACCCTGCCTGGGTGGTGCCTCAGAGCGCTTCCCTGTGGGCCCTGTGTGCCTGGGAGGGGATGGCCACAGCCCCTGCCGCAGCCAGCGTTTCTCCCCGGGCAGGAGAAGCCGTGGGAGGAGGACTGGCTGAAGCTGGAGAGCCTGGTCACACCGCTGGTGCTCAACTACTGCCAGTGCCAGCTGGAGCTCGGCGAGTACTACGAGGTGCTGGAGCACACGACGGAGCTTCTCCAGAAGCACAACGGTACCTGTGCCCTGCATCCCACCCCTTCTTGCTCCAAGGACTCTGTCCTCTGGATCCCCCAGTCGTGGCAATGCTCGTCCCATGTCCCTCTGCCTGTGACAGTACCTATGTCACCTGCATCCCCACGTCCGCTGCAGAACCCGTGTTCCAGTTTCCCCTGCCTGTGACAGTGCCCACAACCCTGGTTTCCCCTGCCCACAGTGGCACCTCTAGGTCCACCACCACCACTTTTCCCCTTTCCCTGATGATTCCTGCCCTGCTGCCCTGGTCTCCCTGCCCTCCCTTACAGGTGTGTAACCCTGCTCCATGAGCTTCATGTCCCCTGGTTCCCAGGGTCTCCAGCTCCCATGGCCGGTGGCCCTGAGCTGTGGGACCCCCACTGGGGGCTCTTCTCTCCTGGCAGACAATGCCAAGGCCTATTTCAAGCGGGCAAAGGCCCACGCTGCGGTCTGGAACGAGCGGGAGGCGCGGGAGGACTTCATGCGCGTGGCTCACCTGGACCCCTCCATGGCGGCCGCCGTGAAGAAGGAGCTGAAGCAGCTGGGGGAGAGGATGAGGAAGAAGCACGTGGAGGATCGGAAGCGCTACCAGGGGCTCTTCCAGTCCCCCCAGGGTCAGCGGGCCAGCAAGGGGCAGGAGAGCAGGATGGGAGGGACCCAAGGAACAGAACAACCAGGGGCTGGGAGTGAAGGGGAGGCACCAGGAGGAGAAGCAGCCCAGGGACAGCCTGCAGTGGCAGAGGTAGAAGCGAGGGATCAGACAGGACTGGGGGAAGAAGTAAAGTTGGACATGTGTGGGGCAAAGCCAGAGAGCCTGGGAACAGAGGAGGAAGAGGAGAAAGAGGAGGAGAGAGAAGACGAAGAAGAGGACAGGGAGGAGGCAGAGAAGGAAGAAGAAAAGGGAGAAGAAAAGGGAGAAGAAAAGGAAGAAGAAAAGGAAGAAGAAAAGGAAGAAGAAAAGGAAGAAGAAAAGGAAGAAGAAAAGGAAGAAGAAAAGGAAGAAGAAAAGGAAGAAGAAAAGGAAGAAGAAAAGGGAAGAAGAAAAGGAAGAAGAAAAGGGAGAAGAAAAGGAAGAAGAAAAGGGAGAAGAAAAGGAAGAAGAGGAGGAAGAAGAAGAAAAACAAGAACATGAAGAAGAAGAAGAGAAAGAAGAAGAGATGGAGGAGGAGAAAGTAGAGACGGGGGCAGAGGAAAAAGATGAAAAATTGGAGGAAGAGGAGGTGGAGAAGGTGGAAGAAAAGGAAGAAGAAGAGGAGAGGCAGGAGAATGGAGAGACGGGGTCAAAAGAGGAAGATGAGAAATTGCAAGAGAGGGAGGAGGTGGAGAAGGAAAAAGAAAAGGAGGGAAAAGGGGAGAGGGAAGAGGAGAAGGTAGCAGAGAGAAAAGTGGAGGAGGACAAAGAGGAAGAGAGTCTATCAGCAGAGATGGAAAAGCTGGACAGTGGGCAGTGTGGGGAGTCAGGGGGGACAGAGGCAGCAGAGATTGAGCAGGAGCAAGAAGCCAATGAGGCAGAGAAAGATGGCACAGGGAGTGCAGCTGAGGCTCAGCCAAACAGAGACCCAGAGCTGGGGCCTCCCAGTGAGGAGCTGGAGCCAGCTGAGGAGTCCCCAGAGCTGGAGGACATGGAGGGTGAGACACCTGGAGAGGGTCTGGAAGAGGCAAGCTGCAGGAAGCAGCGAGCAGGCAGAGAATGAGAAAATGCTGGGGAAGGGAACATCCCCCCAGAGAGCTGCACCCCTGGGGCAGCCAGAGGAGGGGCAGTGGGCAGTTATCCCTGCGTGGGGGAAAGGCTGCTAGAGCACTGACAAGGAGGCACAGCACAGGCACCAGGGCTTCTGTGCCCTGAGAGGGAGCCCCGGGGCTCGGTCTGGCCCAGCAGTGACATGGGAACAACGCTGTCCTGACCCTGCCACCACTGAGCCCACTGTCCCTGCTGTGCAGCAGTGCCCTCTGCACCCCTGCCCCGACTCATGGGCTCCAGCGCCTTTCAGCTGGGCGCCACGGAGCCTTGCTGGCTGAGAAATAAAAGCTCTTCCCTGGCACCGTGTGCTGCAGTTGTTCCTGGATGTGACCGGCTTCCCTGATCATTGTCCACTCCTCCTGCCTTGCCCTGGAGCCCGGGGCACACGGATGGGGCAGTTCGTGCTATTCCTGAGTGAGGTAGTTAAGGAGGTTGCATTTCACCTCCATTTAAGCTTCTGAGTCTCTCCTGGGTGGGAGTGTCCCCAAACTTCCCTGCAGTGGCACCGTGTCAGGACCTTGCCCAGCACTGCCAGCCCTTCCAGACAGGGCTGAGAGCAGGTCCAGCCCAGAAAGTATCAGTCCTGTCCAGCCCAGAAAGTATCAGTCCTGTCCAGGCTTTATCATCAGCCTGGACTGTACCCTGTGCAGTGGGGAGGCTCTGAGAGCTCCCAGCCTTACCCTGAGCTGCTCCTCTGCTGAACCCCTCACTGTGCTATAGAGGCACCCGGACACCTCTGGGCACTGAAGATTTAATGCAGCTCCAGAAAAGAAAGCATGGAAGGAGAGGGCTGCCCAGCATCCCACTGCTGCCTACATCCTTTCCCAGGGCTGAAGGGTTTCCTACAGCAAAAGTTCCTGGGTGAGAAAGAGGCAACTGTCCCCACCCAGCCCCTGCCCCAGCCCTTCAGGTGAGGGGAAAGACCTTGCTGTGAGAGGACCAAGAGGGTGGTTGGGGGACACATCTGTGTCTGGGGAACCTGGAGCCCTGCTCTCAGCTTCTGTCCTGCCTCAAGTGGTGTTGACAGCCAGAGTGACAGTGCAGGCTGTGTCCCAGCAGCCCTGCAGGAGCAGTGCCAGGATGGCACAGCAATGGGAGCTGACTCAGAGGAGATGCATGGATAGAAGAGGCCAGAGCAGTGATCCAGGTCTCAGTATAAATACAAATTTATTCTCTTTCCAGAGCAGAGATGGCACAAAGCAGTGAGGACAGCAGCACCACAGTACATGGTTACCAGAGCATTAGCCAGCCTGCTCCCCTCCCACATCCCAGCTCCCAGACACAGCCCAAGTGCCCAACCTGGTCACCCCTGCTCCCCACACCTGGCACTGGGGCCAGCAGCTCTGGTCCCTTTTTCTTCTCCAGCTCCCCTCAGGATGGACACTTCTCACCTCATCCTCAGGCCAAACCTCTCTCCTCCCCACACTGCTCCCATCCTGCCACTGGGAAAACAGAGGGGTCCAGACACGACTCAAGGGCTGGCCTGTGGTCCCTCTCAGCAGCAGCCTGACACACAGCCTAACACAAAGCCAGCCTAACATGAGCACCACTGCTACTGCCCTCCTGCCACTCTGTGAGAGGGGACAGCGAGGACAGCAACCCACACTGCTGCCAGCAGACACTGTACACAACACTGAGCACCTGGGCATAAAGGCTCACACCACCTCACCCCCAATTCTCGTCTCTGCCAGCACTCCAACTGCACAGCCTGGGCCTGAGCACACTGCCCTGGTCCCAGCCTCCCCAAAAACACCTCACCACTGCATCCCATCCCAGCCAGCAACAACAGCCCTGTCTCTGTCCTGGCACCAGAGCACTGGAACCACCTCAGCCCCCATTCTGGGTTACCCCACAGCACCTGACTCTGCCTCTTTCTCAACATAACACAGCCCGAGACACCCAGTCTGATGGAGCCTTTGGGACCAGGAGCCACCCCCACGCCCCAGCTGCCCTGCCAGCCTGCACAGCAGCCCCCTGCACTGCCCCACAGGACTCACCTGCCTCCAACAAGGGCCTTCAACCCCCCAGCTCAGCTCAAAGGCAGGGGCAGCAGCCAGGCAGCTGCTCCCTGGGGGCAGAAAGGAGGTGCCCTACCTGTCCTGCTGTGCAGCTGCATCAGAACAACCCCAGGGCTGGAGCATGGCCGGAGAAACCCCTTCCTGCAGGAGCTGAGGCTCCCCAAGGATGGAGCAGGGTCTGTGCAGGACGGGCTCTCTGTGCCATGGCAAGGGCACAGATCCTCAGGAAAGCAGGAACCTGCTGCAGGTCCAGCCCTCAGTGAGCTCCCCTCACAGCATCCCTCCTGCAGCACCAGCCACAGGGAAGGTGCTGGTTCCTGGGGGAGCAGGACTTGGGCTGGTCTGAAAGTGAAGGGCAGCTACACTTACAGTATTAGAATTTAATGGAGTGAGTCCATGAGAGTGTTTAAGTACAGAATATATATATAATATATAGAAATATATGCACATTAAACGATAAGGCTCTGTTATAAAGACCCTCTCAGTATAAGGCTACTAGCTGGGCTGAAGCTCTAACATGGACTCATCCCTACCCCACAAACCTCACAGACTCTCTCCAGGTGGTGCGTGCCTGGCTGGCTGCAGAGCCTTGGGTGGCAGAGCTTGAACCGTAAGGCTGGCAGCTGGATGCTGTTATAAAGAGTTATTCTAAAAACTGGGGGGGGCTCCAGGAGTGTTTTGGTGCCCATAAACCTCGAGGCTTCTGAACGAAAATGAAGAGTGGGAGACTGAGCTCTGCATCCCCCACCAGGGCTGCAGGCAAAGGCAGCACCCCCTGCGTGCCAGGGCAGACAGGCAGTTTTCATGGCTTCAGTTCTTTCTTCCAGACCACTCCACCCAGGCTTGGACACCGTGGCCAAGTGACCAAGCCAGCCTCCTGGGCAGCCCACAGTCCCACTCCTGCATGGCCTATGTTCCCCTGAGATCTTCTGGAGCCGGCAAGCATCCTGCACAACCTGCTCGGAGGGAGTCTGTGCGAGGCCTGCTGCAGCACAGGGAGCATGGCAGGGAGAGGAGGGGGAGGAAAGCAGCCAGGTAGCTGGTTAGGAAAAGCCTCTGGCTCACGGGAGGTGTTAGATAAGGGAGGTCATACCTGAAAGAGAAATAGACAGGTCAGGAAAATAGGACCCGGAGCCACCTGCTTAAAGGGGGCTGCTGCAGAGCCAGCAGGATCCTGCTCAGGGATGGCAGGGAGTGGGCAAGAGTCTGCAGGGGCAGAACACCACCTCGTGTTAGTGCTGGCACCAAGCTGGGTCCCCCAGGTGAAAGACCAAGTGCTGCTCCTGGACTGGAGCACAGAGGGAAAGAGCAGAACGACCAACACCCAAACCCACTGGGTGAGTGGAGTGCCTTCCACACACACATCCCCTAGTCTCCATCCCTGCTGGGAAGAGCTGTCCATGAGCAGTCAGGAGAGCTTGCACCGTTGCTTCCATCTCACCAGGTAACTGGGGCCTCAACCTCTCCTGGAGAGGGGTCTGGAGAGGGAGGAAGCCCGGAGGTGGCTCCAAGTGGTCACTACAGGCTGGACACTGGCAGGTCTGTCCATCTTCACGGTGGGGAGCCCTGCAGGGTGCAGGGGTTTGAGCAGGGCAGGAGGCTGCCTTGCACCTCATCTGGGGGGATCTATTTGGTCCATACTCTTGGCAGCTCTGATGGCCTCTCCTTGCAGGTGTGAAACCTCCTCCTCCTCCTCCTTTCTGCTCCCAGGCACCAGTCCCAGCAGCGCTGCAGCAGCAGAGCTCTTGGCTGTAAGCACTGGGGTCATCAGCTGTCGCAGGGAAGCTGGGATCGGGGCAGGGGCTCTGTGGGGAAAACCTCAAAAAGTGAGAGAGGAGGATTTCACTCAGGTACCTCGAGAGCTGGGGAAGGCGCTCCGCAGCTTCTCCATTATGTCTTCCAGGCACATGCTGACTTCCTGGGTTTTGGCTTCCACCTCATCTGCAGTGGAAAAGAGGGCAGGAGGGTGTAAAGCAGGCTCTCTGGACATCCACCTCACTGCCAGCACTCTGGCAGGGTGCAGGCAGCATCCTGCAGTATCAGACCATGGGATCAGGGCCAGGAGCTCAGCCCAAACCCAATCCTCACCTGCAGCTTCGGTGTCAGGGGTGTTGTGCTCTTTCTCCTTTGCCTGGCTGCCTTCAGACTGATGTGGAGATGAAGCCAAGGAAGATGCTGCTGAGCCATTGCCATCTGACTCTGCCTGGGGCTGGAGCAAGAAAGGGGGTTTTCACAATCCTCTGCCCTTTCCTTCCTCCAATCTGACCACCCCTTTCAGCCACTGTCACAGCTCTGATATGGCAAAGCCCACCCCAAGGCCCCAGATCCTTGCTCTGAGCACACCTGCAGCAGCAGCTCCCTCAGCCTGTGCAGCTGGGACTCCAGCTGCTTGTTGTGGTCCTCCAGGATCTGCATGCGGGTCTCCAGGCGGCTCTTGTGCTGCCGGAGGATTCGCGCCTCCGCCAGGAGCTCGTCGTTGTGGGGGTCTTGCACTGATTCAGGGGAGCCTGTAGCCAAGGTTGGAGACTCCACTGCCTCGTCGTGCTGCCACTTCAAACGTCTCAGCTCTCCCTGGAGGATCCTGCAAGACAGTCCATGTCAGCATCACCGTGTTTGTCCCCAGGGACTGCTGGAAACACCCGGCAGCTGCACACTGGGGATGGCCCACCCCTCGGGGACAAGGCTTTGCTGCTTGTGAAGCTTGAGGATCAGGATGCTCCTCTGCAGGGCAGCTCTACCCCATTTGGGGAGTTCACAAACAGATATGCAAATGCTTCCCAAGAGGCTGAAAACACGGGCAGGGAAAGCATCACCTCCTCCTGAGCTGATCTGCCCCGCCTAGACCATCACCTCATGTGGTCCAGAGCAGCACCACCACTGTTCACAAGGGGCTCAGGGACACAAAATGCACAGTGCCCTGAGCTAAACTCAGCCAGTTTGTGGTTCAGGAAGGGAACAGCTTCTGGGGATGTGGGAAGGAACATTTTGGGAAACAGAGTTATCTCCCTTCCTTGTAGTGCACACTCTCACTGAGTGCTCCTCTGTGTTAGGCTGGACACTCTCCAAACCAGCCCACTCAACATCTCCAGTCCCCACCTACAGACCCAGCAGCTATTCCCTTGCTCCACTCTGAGCTTCACCAGGCTTTTCCACTCCCTTCCCTCCCTTAGGCTATAAACCTCACTTTCAGAGTTGCCAGTGCCTCTACCTGTTTTCATCCTCTAAGTGGGCCAGAATTCGCTCCAGCTCTCCCTTGTCATCCATGTTGAGGCTTCCTGGAACCTGCTGGCTGCCCCCAGGCTCTCTGTCAGTGATGGGGCTGGAATGGCGTAGCAGATACTGGTCCTCATCCCTGTTGCAGCAAGTGGAGAAACAGCTTAGTGAGGAACATCAGTCTGATGGGATTTGTGTGCCCCCGGGGAAGGACAGCCTGGAGGGAGGTGGTTTCATGTGGGGGAGCTCCTTCTGGCTGCTCCAGGTCTAGAGCTCAGAAGTGGCTCAGCATCCCTACCTAGCTGGGGGTGCCCAAGAGCCTCTCACTCAAAGGAACTGGGAAGCAAAGTATTCCTGTGCCCTGGCTAAGCATGGATGGAACCACAGGAGCTCTGACTCATCAGGAGGTGAGAAGGGAAAGGAGGCAGAACTCACAGGCTGTCATCAGGGGACAGGCTATCATTGAAGAAGGAACAGTTCTGGCTTTCCATCTCTGCAAGCCTAGAGGAAAGAGGAAGAGGTTGAGATATGGTCAGAGACACCCTGAATGTCTGCTCAGTGCACCCTGCTTATCATTTCAGCCCCTGCAAGACCCCTTTCTGGCAGAGTCTCCCAGCTGGCCTGCACCAGTCTATCCCTCTTCACAGGCTCTACAGAGTTTTTTCTTTTTAGAAAACAAAAATACACTGCTGCTCTGGTGACAGTCTCCGGAACAAAGGACTGCTGCTGTGCAATCAGCTCAGCCTCCCCTCTCATAAGCACAAGAAAGGGGTGAAAGCATTCCAGATCCAGCCTGGGGCCTGAGCTACAAGCACAGACTCCTTGTACTCCTGGGGTCCCCATGGAGAGGGCAGAGGCACCACAAACATCAGGGCAACAGCAGTGGGAAGCTT